TTGCCAACTTCATGATTTTCGACGTTTTTCGAGTATTTTCGATTGGGTTATGTTTCTTTGGCCTACTGTAATGTATTCCTTATGGTTTTGATCAGATTCGACGCGCGAGGAGGTCGATTCGAGGGGAAAGGGCTTGGCGAGCTAGACTTTTGGCCGGCTAGAGGTGAGTAATGATTTTAAATGACGTCCTGAGGGTTTGAAACTCCGGATTTGCACAACTTGGTGCTGTGTTGAGATGAGACACACGTTCATGGCGAGCGCGGGGTCATTTACTATTGGGGATTGTGACTTGGTCCAATCCGGAGGATATTTTACCGCGTATTAACTATGACTTGTTGTTTTACACTGTGATTTGGGCTATTTGCCATATTTGGGGGCTTATTGCCGACTGTTTGAACTCCTTATGAACTATCATCACTGTTTTCCTCACTGTTTGAAATATTATTTGAACTCAGTCCATGTGATTTACACTGTTTCATTAACTCAGCTATATTTACTCAAACTTAGAGTTTTAACTAATATTTGGACTATTGTTTGAGCTGAGTATTATTGTTTTACTGATGTCCGAGGGGTCTTTTGACTATTTTTGGACTGATTGAGGTCGAGGGCCTTATGTGAGGGCATGATGAGTGATGTGAGGAGGCTTTCAGGCCTCGAGTGTATTGTGAGCAGGCTTTCAGGCCTCGTATTGATATGGTTCAGGCTTTTAGGCCTTGTTGATAGCGCTTGGGCTGTAGGAGCCCCTTCGGAGTCTGCACACCCACAGTGAGCGCGGGTACCCATCTAGAGCGGTTAACTTTTAGACAGTGGTAACAATGACACTGTTATGCGCGTTTTGGTCAGGTAACAATGACTGACCAATCAGGTAACAATGACTGATCAGTGGTAACAATGGCACTGTAATACGCGTTTTGGTCAGGTAATAATGGCTGACCGGTCAGGAAACAATGACAGACCAGGAACAAAAATCATGCCCGAGGGGCAGTGTTCTGAGCATCTCTTACTGGTTGAGCATAATTGATTTAATTGTTTTCAAAGAGAATTTCTTGCTATATTTCACTCGTTTTACTATTTTATCTAGTTTTTACTGCTTGAGATAGCATTACTTGTGCCTTTACGGGATTTTATGTTCTCAGTCGTTATTTATTTTTTTATTACTCACTGGGTCGGAGTACTCACATTACTCCCTGCACCATGTGTGCAGATACAGGCATAGCTGAGTTCGTTCCTGAGTGCTGATTCCTTCCAGACCAGGCGGACCCGGAGAGACGAGATAGCTGTCGACGTCCACAACTCCGTTTCTTCCTTATCATCAGTATTTCATTTATCTTCGGACTATGTTCTTAGACACAGACTTGTAGTATTTCATTTAAACTCTGTAGTAGCTCATGACTTGTGACACCCCGATCATCGGGCTGAGTTTGGGATGGTTTTCCCCGTTATGTTACGTTTTATTTCCGCACTTATGATTATTCAGTAACTATGATTTAGACCCGTTTATGCTAAGAAATTATTAAAAGAAGTGTTAATGTTCTGTTGGCTGGCCTTGTCTTCACGAGGGGCGCCATCACGACCGGGCTGGGAATTGGGTCGTGTCCCAACTTTTTCTAGAGTGACTTTGTCGTAGAATTCCGTTGGGAGTTGAGGTAGTCTTATCCAGATGGCAGTAGAAGTAAGCGTGGCTTCCTGTGGAACAAACTTTGGTTCCCATTTTCGGACAGAAAGAAAGTGGCCAGATATAAACCATGGGCCAAGATGCAGTGCCTTCACCATACTCTCCTCTAAATTAAATTTCACTATGAAGAAGTTCCATCCTAGGTCAATCAAGATTAACTGTTCGGATGGCTTCCATAGTTCAATTAATTTAGAGCGTAGCATGTGATGAGGCATTTTTCTTTTGAAGACTTTGATAATTACTGAGAATTTCCATGGCTGGTATAATCTCTCTTTTTCTTCTGGTGATAGAGGAATTGAACCTTCTATATGTTTACCCTTGCACCCTTCTGGGGTGGACTGGTGTTCCATGTCGTAGTAATTTCCTTGGTTGCATGCCTGTTTGTCTAGGAGTATTTCCTTATAGGATTGCTTTGGTGATTCTACTTCCATCTGAGTTAGTTTGTCCGGTGGTTCCGCCGGGAGAGGTGGTCTGATTAGTGGTGGTTCCATGGGCTACAGTAGTGCTAACACTGAAATGTCTTTTTGCTAATTTACTAACACAAAAATAACGTCTAAATCTAAAAAGAACTGAAAGTAGACGAAGTTACTAATGTAATTTTCATGTGTTGTTATTTTTCTTTTTCAAATTTATTATATTATATAGTTCAAATAAGGAAGAATTTAATATTCCAACAAAGTTGATTTGAAGTCCTAAATATTAGAGAAATAATCAATGGTTATTCCTAAATATTAGGAAAATAACGAAATAACTATTTTATCTAATGTAAAATTAATTTTTAGAGGGTAGAAAAGGCGAACGATATTTCGCTAAGGGCCTTCATGCTTTTAATATAGTATAAATAGATAGATATAGATATAGATTTTACATATTTTATATATATACTGACTATTTTTGTTTAAGCGGTTAGGTGAATGATTATTTAAGTTAATAATTTTTTTTAAAAAAAATAGAGTAGGGGATCTTCTAGATTTGAAGTTTCCACATTCCAAGGACAAATCTCTTTAATTTACTCTTTATCTAAATGAAAAGCAATACGAGGAGAAATTGGGTCCTGACTGACAACAATAAATTCTGATGAGACATTAAAAGCTCAAAATCTGCTACAGTAGTAGGAGTATTCAACTCTCAATTAAAACGAAAATGGCTTTTCATCCTAATAGTAATAAATACCTTTAATGGAAAAACGACTAGCACTCATAAAAGGGAAATTTTCAGATACAAATCCGGAGATCTCTAGAAGTTTTTTATCAAACTTAACTTTTATCTCACATATTTGTGGACCCATATCTTACACATTTTGGTCCACAAAATTTTGGGACCCACACAATTGTAAGACAGAAAAAGAGCCTCACACAACTGTGTCAGTTATGTGAGGCACAAAATAAAAATTTTCATTCAGTTGCATCGTACATTTGGATCACAATGTGCTAAATTGGGCCTTTTGAATAAGCCCACTATTACCATAGCTTCTATCAGATTCAAGCCCATATTTGTGTGCTAGAGGCAGTTTTTGAATGAGGTCATTTTCATAAATCACTATAGTTTAGAGTCTAATAATTATAATTTGCTTAGTTACCATTCATAGCTACTGTTCAATTGTTACTAACTTGTATAAGTTGTTTTCAAACGCGCAATGAATACAGCATGTGTCAACTGTATTTATTTGCGCAACGAATACAACATGTATCAATTGTATCGCTTCCAGAAAGATAGAGTTATCACACAAAGGCGCTCGAACAGTTGAGCGGCCGCCGGCCAGCAACTTCCGTATACAGATATAGATTCATTCTTCGTACCTGGTCCAGCCTCACAACCCTTCGCGAGGCAAGTGGGCAAGTAGCGAGCAGGAGCAGTGTTGGGCTTTGTGGTCGTTAACGGGAACAAATGAAGAGGAGCACAGCACCCTCCGCACTCGATTGGCTAATCAAAGTCAATGCAGCCAGCTTCTTTTGAATGGGTCACCAATAGAACCGTCGGTCCCCTCTACTTTATTTGACAAGGACGAAGAATACCACTCTATCAATAACAAGAAAAAAGTAGCAATTTTGTTTCAAATGGTTTGAGCATCCGTAAGCACATTTGTATTCGTAATTTCAACGAATACAATATGTATCAACTGTAACCAAGGAGAAATACAACGGTGTATACAAAGGATACAAACTGTATCGATTATATTTGTTGCGCAACGAATACAACTAAGGCAAAATGCAGAAAATAAAATGTTCTTGTTGAGATTCCAACTCAAGACCTTCACGAGTTAAGTGCTCTAACCAACTAAGCTATGAGAGCTTGTTACTCTCTTGTTTCACTTCAAAATAATTAATCTCTTATTTCATAAATTTGCTATAAAATTCAAATATAGCTACAAATGATAAATTTGCGGAAAGTATAGCTACGAATGATAAATACAGTATAAATATTTGATGTGTCGCGTAATTTTCCCTTATATAAATAGCCGGCCATATTTATTGTTTACTTTATCTAGCCATATACATAGATATACATTAATTATACATATATAATACATAAATTATATATATATATATATAATTTATATATATATATATATATATATATATATATATATATATATATATTATATCTTCACTAACTATTGTTAGTTTAAGAGGTTGGGTGAGCGGCTATTTCGGTTAATTTTTCTTTTTGAATCTTAAGAAGATAAATTTATGTTATTATCGAATTTGAAAAGAAATTCATACTATTATAAAAAATATATCAGCATGCGGTTTATAAGAATTAGTTTAGCGACTAATAAAATTAATTTATATGAAACTTAATAAAATTGAGTGACTTTTTAGTTAACAAAAAATAGTTTAATGACTTCAAATCCAGTAACTTTTTTCATTATGAACAATAAAATAAAATAGGAATGTATTTTTTTTTCCTTCGTTTTGAGCTCGTGAGCGATGTTTGACAAATTAAGTCTCTTTTCTTTAAATTTTGCTTTCTTTTCCAAAGTCATGTCTTAGGTCCAAAGAGCTTAAGTAAACCGAAAATTGATTTGAAATGGAATGCTGCATTGATAGACTACATTGTTGGAGATAATCCTGGGTATAATGCTATGAGGCGTTATATTGCTTAACAATGGCTAGATGTTGCTGAGCCAGATTTATTTCTTCATGATGAAGGATATTATGAGATAAAATTTCAAACACTAACAGATATGCATCAAGTGTTATATGATGGTCCGCTCACTATCAGAAATAGACTAATAATCCTCAAGCCATGGTCTCCCAATTTTGATTTAAGTAAAGAGTTCCTAACTGATATACTTCTGTGGGTGATTTTTCCTAAGTTACCAATGAGCTGCTGGGGTAGTGAAGCTTTAAGCAAAATTGCTTGTGCAATTGGTAAACCTCTGTTTGCTGATAAATGCACCACTAAGCAAACACGAATCTTTTATGCAAGGATGTTGATTGAAGTAAATGTTACAAGAGCTATGCCTACTGAGATTACTATGTTGGATCCTAGAGGCAGGGGATTTCAGCAAGAATTGGTGTATAAGTGGAAGCCAAATTACTGTGACAAATGCCAGGTCATTGGTCATGTGTGTCCTAATCAACAAGGTCCAAGCGAGCAGAAGGAAGAGCAGCCAAAGAGAAGAAGAGAAACAAAAAAGTAACATACGAATGGAGAACTAAAGGTCTTGTACTTCCTACAGCTGGGAATACAGAAAATATGCAGAAAGAAAGGTGACAATGGAAAAAATGTGAATCAACCTGGTCTAGTCTAAGAGAAAACCCAACCTTGCTTACTAGTGGAGACTCGGTAGCTCAGCTACAATCAACCTGAAGTAGGTGCAGGGAACATTGTGACAAGTGCAGTGGACAAAGGCAAAAAGCAAGTACCAGATTTGAGCCTTGAAAATTTTCCTATGTTAACACCTATGACTAGCAGAAATGGATCCAAAATTATAGCAGCAGGTACCAGTGGAACTTGTACCTTACCTCATGATAGAGGTGGGGGAATTAAACTCAATCAATGACTTGGTTACCATGGAATGCCAGGGGTATTAATAAGTGGTACAAGAGGAAGGAGATTAAAAACTACTTGAAGATAAGAAAACATCAAGCTTGCAGGTATCATTGAAACAAGAGTCAAAGAACACAAAGCTAAAAGAGTTAGCTGCCACATTGCCCTTGGCTGGGAGATACTCAATAATTATAATGATGCAGTAAATGGAAGAATATGGGTGATATGGGATCCAAACTACTACTCAGTCAATTTAATCAAGGCAGAAGCACAAGTTATTCATTGTTCTGTTAGAGATATTATGAAGGATCAAGAATGTGTAGTATCAGTAGTCTATGGCTTTAACACAGTAGAAAGAAGGAAGCAACTATGGGAGAGCTTAATAGAGATAGGACAAATGACTTCCATACCATGGTTGATTGGAGGAGATTTTAATCCTCTCCTACAATTACAAGATAGGATACATGGTAATCCAATTACCATGGCTGAAATTCAAGACTTCAGTAAATGTATTCAAGACTTAAGGCTTAGTGAACTGGCTTGGGAAGGTGATTATTATACATGGTATAATAAGCAAGAAGGGAGTGACAGAATATGGAGCAGAATTGATAGGATATTTGGCAACTATGAATGGATGATGCAATGGGGGCATATAACTACTGTATATGAGATGCCTTTTATATCTATCTGATCATGCTCCTATGAGCCTAACCCTAACTGATAATCAAGGAAACAAGAAGACTCCATTCAGATTTTTCAATGTGGGCAGAACATGAGAGATTTCTAAGCAATGTCCAGCAAGTATGGCAGCAAAGAGTCCACATGAAGAGTATGCAGAATATTTGGTTAAAGCTCAAAGCACTAAGGTCAGTACCGAGAAAGCTTAATGTTGAGGAGTTCAAGTTCATAAGACAAAAGATTGAGAAAGCCAGAATTGATCTTGAAAGGGTTCAAAGAAGCATTACTACTAATTGCTCTGATGAACTATTGTTAGAGGATAAGGGACTGGTACAAAATTTAAAAAAATATGGGATATGATTGAAGAGGGAGTTTTGAAACAGAAAGCCAGAACAAAATGGATAAAGCTAGGAGATTCCAATACAAAATACTTCACAACCGTTATGAAAGAAAGGAGTCAAAGAAAGCAAATACCGGAGCTTAATTTTATTACTGGAAGCAGGTTAACTGACTCAGAGAGCATCAAAATGGAGATTGTAGAATTTTAAAAATCATTGATGGGAACTGCTGCTCGTTCACTTCCCGCTATAGATAAAATGGTGATGCAAAGGGGACCAAAGCTTAATCAGCAGCAAAGAATTAACCTATGTAAAGATGTGACTGTGGAAGAGATTTATGAAGGATTATGCTTTATTGGAGAAGACAAGGCGCCTGGCGTTGATGGATACAATGCATGTTTCTTTAAAAAGGCTTGGTCAATTATCAAAGATGAAGTTACTGAAATTGTCTTGGAGTTCTTTGCTACTGGAAAACTATACAGAGCTATAAACTGTACAACCATTACCTTGGCTCCTAAGAATAATAGGCCAAAAACTGTGAAGGAATTCAGGCCAATTGCTTGTTGCACTGTGTTATACAAATTGATCTCTAAAATTCTAGCATCAAGAATACAAGGAATAATCAATACAATTATCAATGAAGCCCAGGCAGGATTTATACCTGGGAGGAGGATTGTAGATAACATAATTCTGGAACATGAGTTGGTAAAGGCCTATTCTAGAAAGAACATCTCTCCCTGTTGCATGATAAAGATTGATTTGCAGAAAGCCTATGATTCTGTTGAATGGCCATATGTGTAGCAAGTTATGAAAGAATCGGGATTTCCTCAGTTGTTCATCTCTTGGGTCATGGAGTGCATTCAAACAGTCAACTATTCTATATTGTTAATGGTGAGCCAAAAGAGCCAAGCCATTCAATGCTGCTAAGGGTTTGAGGAAGGGTGATCCAATGTCACCTTTCTTGTTTGCTATATCAATGGAATACTTGAGCAGGAACCTGGATAACCTCAAGATGGTGAAAGAGTTTAAGTATCACCCTAGATGTGCCAAACTAGGGATCACACACCTAAGTTTTGTTGATGATTTACTGTTATTTGCTAGAGGAGATTTGAAATCAATACAAGCAATGCAACAGAAATTCTGTAGTTCACTCAAGTTTTTGGGCTACAAGCAAATCTCAACAAGAGTGAAGCCTACTTTGGAGGGGTTACTACAGACAATAGACAACAAATTCTACAGTATTTGGGCCTTTCTGCTGGAGAATTACTTTTCAAATACCTAGATGTACCTTAGTCTACCAAGAAGCTAAGTGTTCCTTAGTGGCAACCTCTTATTGACAAAATGAATGCCAGAATTACTTCTTGGATTGCGAAGACCTTGTTTTATGCTGGGAGGGTGCAGTTAGTTCAAAGTGTGCTGTTTAGTATACAAGTTTTCTGGGCGCAATTGTTTAATAATATTACCAACAAAAGTGGTCAAGGTTGTAGAGGGATTATGCAGGTCTTATATATGGTCGGGGGTGAAATCACAAAGAAGGCATTGGTTGCATGGGATAAAGTATTTTTACCTAAAGCTGGGGGTGGTCTCAATATCACCAATCTGAAGTTATGGAACAAAGCATCCATCGTGAAAATCTGTTGGGACTTAGCACAGAAACAAGACAAACTCGATGGATTCATACATATTATATCAAAAGACAGCAGATTAATACAATGCCAATACCATAGCAAGCTTGCTGGATGGTGAGAAAAGTGATAGAGGCAAATGAGATCCTGGCAAACAGATAATTTGAGCAAACTCACAAAAGAAGCTTGATTAGACAAATCTACTTATATTTGCTTGGAGATTACAGCAAGGTGGAATGGAAGAGCTTAATGTTCAATAATACAGCAAGACCAAAAGCAAGGTTTACAATGTTGCTTATGATGAATGGAAGATTGATGACTTGTGATAGACTGAGCAAGTGGGGGATTAATGTTGATAAAATAAAAGATCACTTATTCATGCAGTGTGAATACACCAAGCAAATTTTGAGTAAACTCTGCCACCGGATACAAACACAATACTTGGGACCTATAGATTGGCAGCAATTCACACAGTGGGCAATTCAATATGCTAGAGGGAAATCACAACGAGCACAGATCTTCAAAGTCGTGTATGCAGAAGCACTTCATCAAATATGGATTGAAAGGAACAGTCGAATTTTTGAGCAAAAGAATCGAGTGTGGGAGCAGATTGTGAAGGAAGTAGCTTATGTTTGTAGTGTTCGGGTAACTCCTAGGAATAAGTCTTTTTTACATAGCTTATGTTTTTAGGAAGTGGAGTATGATATGTCCAGAGATTGATAGCAAGCTGTGTTAGTTCTGCTATGACTTTGTAATTGGTACTTGGTGGTTAGTAAAATCAGTTAGTTACCAAAAAAAATGAAAATTAATTTGAAACCATTGGCGCTGAAATTTGAAATATTGGCTGGGCCACGTTGGAAAAAGCAACAGATATCTGTCTACGTATGAGAAGCATAGGCTCCGCCTTGTTGAAAAAATGTTTATCATTGTCCAATCATAGGTGGGTAAGGAGCAAAGAAAATTAAACGTTGCAAAAACTAAAAATTTAAATTAAGAAGACTAGAAAATGGTACAGTCACGCCTCTTTATAGTAATATTCTTATATAACAGTCATTCACTATAAAAGTTAAGTTTTTCTCGAAACCGATTTTTATTTTGTTTTATAATATATATCCTTTATAACAACATTTCAGTAGTCAACAAATATCGGAACAAACGAAACTGTTATAGAGAGGTTTGACTGTAATATACTTTGTCAGTGCTTTTTACAATAGGATTTGTCAATGTTATACATATATTCTATGCATTATACATTGTTTAAGTAATTTTAATGTGGACTATATATCATAAATTAATGATAAGTTAGGTACAAAAAAATCAACTAAAAAATGGAAGGTAAGTCGGACGAGCATTTTCTCCAATTTCTAACGCTTGTAAAGTTAAAGAACAGACACACTCGATATTTTGCATTAGTTCGCTTTCTCCCTCATAGTTTGAACATATGTTCATAAGTTTCTTTACTTATATTTTGTGTTTTCTTCCCAAACTAAGTACTTTCTTTATATTTTTGTCTATTTTACCGTCTTTTTTGCTAAACAAAGTAAATTTTCAACGAAGAAAATACTTCGATTTATGGTGATTAATAAGTGTTTACCCTCAAAATCGGATAACAATTAAATTTATACGCGGTTCTGAGGATACGTGACATAACTTGATACAAATTAAGAAAATAGATTAATATTGAAATTGATGATAAGAAAATAAATGCAAACCAAACAAATTGAGCAGCTTTAGCCTTTGAGTTTGATCACCCTCGAGCCAAAAAATGCTTCAACTAATATTAGGACAGAACAACAAGATGATAAGAACTAGAAATGATTAGTATATTGCTTTCTTTGTGCGTGTTACAATGCGTCTTACACATGATCAGACCCCCTCCTTTTATATAGTAGGGGTGTCCTACTCTTGATACAATTCTATACAAGGTAATAAATCTCATGATTTGCTAATTAATCGCCTCTCCTTGATACGTGCCGAGATTTCCACCATGATTTCCAACCAATCGCGGATATTTCGGACTTCTGTTATTCGGCTCAGCAAATTTCCCTCGATCTTGTCTCGATCTCGTTCGGTCCCGGGGTCACGAGCTCAACAATGTAACTTTGCACCTCGATTGGATATAACCCAAGATCGAGCTTTAACCTGTCACGTTTAAGTCTCGATTGGTCACACAATAGGCAAACCCGATTTCGACCGTATACAGATAGTCCCCTCATTTTTTGGAGAGAAGACGACGAGAAACGATATGAACTTCCGAACCCCGCTTCGATAGACCATGACATAAGCGACAAACGGTTACTGAAACGTCCTATCGGTCCAGTTACCAAGGCATTAAATGCGTGTCAGTTGTTGGTCGGCCACTATGGGTTTAGAACCGTCATTAGAAAACTATAAATATCCCAACTTTCATTCATTCAAACTTTATGTTCAAAGCTTCTTCTATTCTTGTTCTTCAAAAATCTCTTCACCCTCCAACTTTTGTACCCAAATTTTTTGAACCTTCTGCAAACCGCTAAACGTACCTTCTTAATTTCCTCTTCTTTATCTCCGCTCTAAAATAGCGAAAACTTCTAGGACTTTCCCACAAACGGAGGCCGCCTCTTCAGCACGACCGCCGGCGACGGGATTGCGGCGGAACCACACCCTGAAGAGTTTGTTCCTGGAGGGTGCCCGACCGGTGCTGATTTCAAGGTCGAAAAAACTTCCTCGGTACCGGGTCGATGCGATCCGATCTCAAGATATATATATTCCATTATCGAAGATCTCCTCTCCAAGGTCAAAGAGGATTGCAACTGGGCCGATAAGCATGTGGTGGTGCCTTCACCTGAGGAAGCAATTACTACCCACATGGAGGGTTTTTTAAGTGTTTACAGTTACCCCTTCACGTTGTGTTCCTTAGACCCGGGCATTATCGCCTTCTGCAAGAGGTACGGGGTGACCCTCAATCAAATTCACCCCTCCTTCTAGAGGATAGTGATTCTTCTCCATTTTTTTGTAAACAAAATTGAGGGGTGTCCTTTCACCCTTGATCATCTTATGCGTCTGTACAG